TAGGACTATGGGAAAGCAGAACATATTCAATTTAGAGGAAAGGAAGGACAATAAACAAGCTGGTTGCAAATCCATAAAGCGGATTTTACAGGCAGGGCAGGAACTAATTGCTGTCTTCAGCCTTCAAGGTTGAACTAAGGAGTTATAAGGCTAAAACAGGGAGTATAAAGCACAACTCTGATGTGACACCTTTCCCCAACCCTGCTCCCCGCAGGTCCAGAATGACAACTCTTGGGACAAATCAGGCAGAGAAGTGGATTTCGTGGGAAAGGTCTCCTGCAAAATTGAAGAATTTTGGTATGTGGAAATACCACAGCCCCCGTGCAGAGCTTTGCAGCTGCATCGTGCCAGCAAAAGTCCTCGATGTTTCCTGCCGTATCACTGCATTGTGGGTTGATGAGTAGTAAGGGAATGGCTTTTTCTTTATTTCCTTTTTCTTTCCTTTTTTTCTTTTTTTTTTTCTTTTTTTTTTTTTTTCTTGGAGAGCATGGTTCAGACTATTTAAAAAAACAAGCTATTCACTTCTCCAATTTCAGTAATAATACAATAATACTGTGGAAAGTTAAAAGACTTAGATGCTATAGTTTTTAGGAGTAATGGTTGCACATAACCAAAATATGTGTTGGGTGTGTTTCTTAAAATTAATTTTTAATATCCTTTCCCCTTAAATTAGATAACCAAAGTTCTTCAGGGGAAGGCAAGGAGATATCTTTGCATGTTTTGCAAGTGCTCTGAAAGTTAGGAATTGGGAATAAAGCAGGAAAATTACACTCCCCTTTTCCCCCTTTCTCTCCTTTATCTTTCTCGACTTTTGAATCGTAAACCAAAATCCGCTTCCCTTAGTTACCTCCTGTGCGTGCCTTGGTGGTAATCCATAGACCCCTGGGATTTGCTAATCATGCACTGAAAAATAGCTATCTAGGTAATAAAAGCTGCAGGATAACTCATTTACAAGTTTCTTTGCAGAAATTATGATTGCTTGCTGTATGCAGGAGGCTCGCTGCAAAATACCTGCGAATTGCCTCTTGACTTTGAGGGAGTCAATTAAAGCCACTTAATTAGTGCTGTTAGCAATCATATACTAAAGTTACAGACTTTCATTTATGTTATGATTAGTGCATTTTAATATCGCTTTAAAAAAATGACTTTGGGAAGGAAGAGTTGGTGAAGCACATTTTCCTTAGCTAGTAGCTCATTTTTGTACCAAATTGCTGTTTTTAAGGGTTTGATCAGACTGTTTAAGAGGCTGTTATAGTTAGTAGCTGGGGCAACTTGCATTACATTTTGGTCTTAAAACACCTACAAGCATGGCTGGTGTGATGGCCCCTCTACTCGGCCCTGGTGAGGCCGCATCTGGAGTACTGTGTCCAGTTCTGGGCTCCACAGTACAAGAGGGATGTGGAGCTGCTGGAGAGAGTCCAGCGCAGGGCCACAAGGATGATCAGGGGCCTGGAACATCTGCCCTACGAGGAGAGGCTGAGGGAGCTGGGAATGGGAGAAGTGGGTGCCCACGCTGTCACATCCTCCTGACCAACCTTTTGAAGCACCAAAGATGCTCTGAGCTTTGCAGGGGTGCTGTGGTCTCCTAAAATCCCCCAAAAGGGATGTCTCCTCCCGGCCTGGGAAAGGGTTCTCCCCTGGTGCCGAGCGCTCCTCTCGGAGACGCGGCTCTCGCGGCTTTCCGGAGCCAACGCTGCGATGAAAAATCTCTTTAATTTTGACTTGCTCGTATTCTGTCAAACAAGTGGGAATCCAAAATATTGCCAGAATCGCTTTTGAGCAAAGCATTTGTTTTGACAGTATTGAAAAAAAAAAGAAAAAGAAAAAAAAGGAGAGATATTATCCTGTGACAATATATCTTTCATGCCTGAGAGGCATTGATTCGCAGCAGAGAGCCATTTACAGCTCTTCACATGCAGTATGTGCCTCAAAAATTGTTTACAAGATCAATAAACATCTGCTGAGCTGACCTGCAAAATTCTGCTATTGTGCTTTTTGTCTTTTCCTGTAGCAATTCTTCCATATTCATGCATCCATAGAAGGAGGAGGTGGGCTGGAGATGGCTTTGGGCCACCTCTGCCTTGCTCCTTTCCAGGTCCTTCTTTGCATCAGGGTGGTTTCATGCTCTGACTGTGCAGCTGAGGATATTGCCTAGCAGATTCCTGGGGAATAAAGTGGCGGTAAGAAAAATGCTCCAAGGAGACGAAGCAGGAGGAGCTCTGGAAACCTCCCTGCAGCCCAGGGTCTGTCCTTGCACTTGGGAGCCATAAGGAAACCCAGGCACTTGAGCAAGCTGCCCTAAGTGATCTCCAACACGTCCCTTCTAACCTTGTCCGACCATCCTTAAATGTTCAAAAGATTCGACAGTGACTACGTAATTTTATTTTTACTCCTCTCTGGGAAGCAGGAGATGTGTGCTGGTTTTGGGACATACTTTGCCACTTTGTTGGTTTTTCAGAAGCCCTTTTCTGCCCTGGGGAGCCAGCAGGCAGACCACGTCTCACCGTTTAGCAAGGCAAAAAACAACCATGTTCCTTATTTTGTGTTTTCCAGCTTTTATTTTTCTTATTGCTATAAAATAAGAGTAGAATTTGTCCTTCACTGTCAAGTTTTGGTTCCCAGAACTCCTGGACAGATTTAGTCTCAATTCTCTCAAAGCCCCTTGAAGCTTTTGCACTCAAACCAGGCAGCAGGTTGTCTGCAGCTGGGCAACTTCTGCCATTGCAGGGCTGCATCCAGGGCAGTTGCACTTGGAAACTTGGGAAGTTGGACTTAGGAATTTGGGAAGTTGCACTTGGAAAGGTATTTTAGATTTATACTGGCCTAAGGGTAAAACCCAACCCTAAATGGGTGTGGGGTAATTGCATTTGCTCAGTAAGGTTAATCCTTTAGCCTGTCTAATAATATTAGAAATAGTTGTGTGTGTGTATATATATATGGTAATATTAAAAATGCAAGTAATATAAAAGCCCCTAGAACATTTCATCTTCTCCTTATGTTCAGTTTGCATTACCTATGTGCATGTATGGATTAGCCACCATGGGATATGAATCCAGCGCTGGGCTCCCTGGCCCATCACAGGAAAGTTGGTAAACGTGTATTATATTCATGCGACAGGCCAAATTGTGAGAACTTTTTCAATATAGAGATCAAGAACAGAAGTTCAAATCCAGTTACCAAGTGTAGCGATGCCTTAGTAAATAAAAAACATCATCAACTTCCTATGAAGCACCATTTTTCAGAGGGGGAGTAAGCAATAGATCATGCGCTGACAAAATCTGCTATGGCCAAATAGATGAATTTTTTGCCTGCAGCCTACATCCCACCTACTGAAGAGACAGGAAAGTAATTCATGTTGGAGATAGAAAGAGGTTTTAAATGAAGCAGAGAAAAGCAGAACTCCAAAGAGCCAAGCTCTGATTCAGAGGCAACTCTGAAGTTCAATTTTGAATGCCCTGTTTTCTCCTAGTTAGAGAAAAAGATCTCTCATCTGAACATTTTTGTGGTGTGACCCTTGTCAATTAGGCTTAAATAATCAAGAACAAAACCTTCGTCCACTATTTTTATGGACCAGAAAGGATCATTTTGGTCTTACTTATGACCGATTTTATGCTGGTGATATGTTTATGCACTGGAACTCATTTACCAATGACATTTTCAAATTGCTTTCCTTACTGTGCTGACACGAAATCTGCATTAATAAGGAAGTCACTAAATTACCGGGTATAATAATGGATGGAAGAGACTGTGTTTGTGTGCAGAATTATTTCAAAATAATGCACTGGCATTTTAAGTCCAGAAAGTTCTGTTACAGCAGGGGTGGGATTTTTCTAAGGCTTTCAGTCTTCCTAAGGCTAATCTCATTGGAAGTATTGATTGACACCAGCCAGGAAAGAATTATACCGGCCGTTTTCAACAACTGATGTGTGATTCTTTGGGTCTATTCAGGCTGCTTTTAAGGGATCTGCAAAAACCTATTGACCCTAGGTTTATATTTCTTAGGGAGCACTGCCACTGGAAGATATTTAGATGTCCCCAGGCTGAGAAATATTGAAAGCTGCTAGAACCAAATGCTTTTGAAAAGTCTATGTTTTAAAATAAAGGAAACTAAAATTGAGGGAAAAACATTTTAACTTTTTTTTTTTGTATTTGATGTAGTGCAGAAAACTAAGAGGAGACACAAGGTACGTGTGTTTGAAGTTATGCAGCTTCATTTCACTGAGCTCCAAACTCATCTGTCCAAAGCAGGATGCCTGTAGAATGCCCTGCTTCTCTCTTTTTCTTTTTTAGACCTCAGGAAAAGTCCAGATTTTTGATTAACACATATTACAAAACCTGTCATTGTTGGTAGGCATCTTCTTGCTTATGGCAACTGCAGGATGAGCAGATTTTCTAAAGAGGTCTCAAATCTAATATCCAGGTAAAAAGGAAAGGGTGCAATGACAGGAGGACAGGTGGCTTTTTAGTCAAACATTTTATTAAAGAAAAAGAAAATCTGAAATGGAAGCAGCTAGGGAGGAATAAAGATTAGAGAAGACAAGCAAAATTCCTAGGGGAATGCTACCAAATAATACTTAGGGATACTGCTACAATGCCTAATAGCATTTCTGATGTATTGGTATGCACACCTTCCTTCATTCCCTGCATATATATGCATTGTGTGTCCCTATAAATCCCTGTTATCTCTATTTACTAGTGCTCTCTTTTCTCCCCTCCAAGTACTTGTGACTGACAAGCATAAGTAATATAATCTTGGAAGCTATAAAACATTATTTGATGGCTCAAGAATTTGTTTCCAATGTATTCCAATATATTCTGCAGCCTGGCTAGATTGCAAGCCTTTCACTCACTTGCCTTCCTTGCCTCCAACTGAAACAAAGTCATTTTAATAAAAACCGTTGAGAAATAGAGGGATTTTTGGCAAATCTGGAACAGGCTGCCTGGAGAGGTTGTGGAGTCTCCTTCTCCGGAGATCTTCCAAACCTGCCTGGATGCCACCCTGTCCCTGCTGGAGCAGGGGGTTGGACTAGGTGATCTCTAGGGGTCCCTTCAAACCTTGGCCATTCTGTGGTTCTCAGGTTATTATTATTATTATTAGCGGTAATGGGAGGGTCTTCTGCTGCTTGGCCCCATGCAAGCAAAGAGAAACCAGAGCCTTTCGTCCCTACAGGCAGGAGTCTTAATTCCTGCACTGAACAAATTCCTCCTGCTGACCCTGGACCAGGGGGACGGAGAGAGCGATTAATGACATTCATTTACAAGCCGAACACCTGGGAAACCACAGGCCTAATTTCACTCAGGCCTCCTGCATTATTAATCCTGCTTGTAAACGGGAGCTCATATCAGTTATTATCTAACCCAGACCTGGCACTTGCACTGGCTCTGGGAGGGCAACGGAGTAGGATGAGGGACCCTCTCAAGGGACTGTCCAGGTGCCCAGGCCACTGGCTGGCACTCCAGAACCTCCTGCAGCTGGAGGTGCAATTTCAGAGGCAACATAGGGAAAAAGAGGAATTTTCTAATTAAATGTGTCGCTGAGCTCTCCTCCAGGCTGCACTCAAGTCTGCAGGGCTCATTTAAAGCAGTGCAATTTGTTGCTATGACCACCCTGCCCCTAGATGGGCTAAAATTAAGGCTTCTCCTAGAGTGTTCTGCATGGTATCTTTTGACCCACTTATGGAGGGAAGAAGGAAGAGTTTTTCAGATATAAACCTACTAAATGCAAGCTATACAATCCAGAATAATTTTGGAAGAAATATCTGCAATCATACAAACTCCCTTCAAAGGGGGGAGCTCTTCTTTGTTGAGGAAAAGTGTCTCAGAAGCTGCCTCTCACTTTCACGTTGCTCGGATGAAAAATCAGTGAGTTTTGTTAAAGTTTCTCATATCCCTCAGTCTGGAAGCAAAGGCTGTGGAAAATATGGTTATTTTTGTATAGCGCTTGTGTTATAAGTTGGTCATCAGTCAAAGCTGTTTACATGTCAAAGCTAACATCTGAAGTCCCTAAGCTGTAACAAATAACCATGTGTGGTCAAAATATCTCTGAAAATGTGAAATATGCTGCTAAGATACCCCTGGATTTTTGTCAACAAATGCAGTACCGAGGATAACTCTTTCTATACGGTAACCGCATTATATAAGCATCCATGAAGAAACTTTGAAACACAAGATATTTGAAATCTCGTTTGATAGAGACGCGACTCACTAAAGCAATTTCCTTCAAAGAAATGTGGATCTAATTTGCCAACTGTGATTTGAAAAAAAGAATATATATATTGATTTTTTTTCTATGCAGGATAGATTTTACTCCAGAGGGGTACAGAGGTACTCAATTTTCTGCCACATTAATACTTCATCAAAGGCTAACAGCTCCCTGCAAGCAGAGATGCTCTCCTCCACAGATGCAGGAAGTTCATACATCTCCAAGTGGCTTATTTTTAACTCCTAAATATATATTTTTTATATCAGGAAGTGTTTTCTAATAAAATCTGATCGTAGTCAAAGGCTACTGTAATATCCAGTCATTTGGCTTTGCTACCTGCAGTTGAGGAAAAATTGCAAGATTTAGAGTTTTGTTCTCAAGATGCGGTTTTTAAAGCAGATCAGTAAGAAAAGAGCACCTACCAAATATTTTCCCATTTTTCTCCATACAGGCAGTGTATGGTAGACCTCAGCAACCATACTGTTCATCAATAGGACAGGGTAAAGTGGGAAGAGGGAGCAAAATTTCCTCGGAGCGCTGTGTGCAAGAGCGTGCAGGGTGAGTGCAACTTAAAGAAGAATAGAAATGGTTGAAAGACACTATAGATTAACAATCTATTATAACTTTTTATTTTATCTTCCAGATAAATGGAGATGGGCACATGTTTGGAGTGGTGACCCCCAAGTGACTGTGAAGCCACTAAAACTGAAGGGCTTGTCCCAGGTTTTGTGAAGTCAGGAGAAGTCACCTAAAAAAAGTAAGACTTTTCTCTCATGCTGTTTTGGAGTACAGTTCTCAAGACTTGTTTTTAAGAAACTCTCCCTATCAGATATCGGTTGGAGCAAGGAGGATGCTGAGCTTTGCCCTTGCAATTTGTTATTTTAATGACGGTATTTTGGAGGCTTTGAAGCTTTCCATTGTCACCAAGCCTAAGGAAGATATGAAAGAGCTGGACAGGAATGACAGGGAGATTAATGGGCCCTGAAACCCATGGGAAATCTCCCTCTGCTTTACTTCAAGGGCTTAACACTCATTTTGTACCCTGCCTCACGGAAGCAGCTGATGTGTCCACCTCGGCTCACCGTGTTTTCTTTGTAATAACAAGAGAGAAGAGAACTAGAAAAGGTGTTTGTTAACCCCTAGAAAAGCCTGTGTAAAACAAAAAACTTTTTTCTTGACTGGGAGTCTTATTTATTTTACTCTTGTTTCTTTTCTTTGCAAGGTCTGTCGCTTGCGGTATGGTTCGGTGGTAGAAAAAAAGAGAAACAAAATCTTTACTTCTTCAATAGAAATTATCTTCAAGGTTGGGGTATTCTTCATCAGAGCGTGTCTGTTATTCTAGGAACTTAAATACTTTACTTTGCTGTTGTTCTCCTTACATATTTAAGTCTTAATTTTGATGCACATGTGCAAACAGTGACTTTGGAAAGTAACATTATGAAAATGTGATACTTATATTTTAAATCAAAATATATTTTTGTTGTTCAACCTCAACATTGTTTCTGTGGTTAAAGCAAGATCCTCTTTAGATTGTCATTGATCTATGGAAGACGGTGGAGCCAGAATCACGCTCTAATGTTTCAGTAGCAACCTCTGTCCGTCCTTGAACATTGTTTCTGTAGTTAAAGCAAGATCCTCAAGATTGTCATTGATCTATGGAAGACGATGGAGCCAGAATCACGCTCTAACGTTTCAGTAGCAACCTCTGTCCGTCCTTCCCTGCTTTGCATACCAGAAGAAATGCATGCTAATAGCCCGATTCGATGCCAGTAGAGCCATAGCTTTTTTTTTTTTTCTGCATTCTGATTCCATTATCTAGCATATGAAACAAATTCAGTAATGCTTGTTTTTCAGGTTAAGAGTACGGATGAATACATAATTCATAAGAACAAGTTATTTGATCAATGTAACTTCAGAGAATATTCACAAGCAGAGAACAATTTTCTCAGATATACTCGTTATTTGAAATTATTTGACAACTGTCTTGGGTAAATTTTTAAGTCCTTGTATTGACCAGAACTAATTTTGTGTAAGTGTTGACTGTTCACGTTGCTTGTGGCTTGCTGGAAGAGTCACCTTGTGCTACTTTGCTGTCTGGATGAACCCAGCAAATCTGCTGCTGCAAATACTTGGCAGGCAAGCACAACCCAACCTGAAAAAAAAATAAAAATAAAAATTCTTGGTTCTGCTCCCAGGATGGAAGCAAAGAGGGCTCAGACTTGCCTGGTTTCCAACTCTGAATGAGCCTGTGCTCTTCATTGGGTCATGATTGAAGGTCTTAAAAGCTGCCACTCACTGCGCTTGGTCTTGTGGAGCGGAGCAGCCTTTGAGCACGGATGCTGGAGGAATGCACCCAACTCTTGCCACTCCATCCATGAGACCAGTCACAGCCAAATGGACCTAAAATGAACCACAAAAAAAAGGCCCTGGGCTGTCAGCACCACTGGGCTGTTCCATTGATCTGCTTCTGTCACGTTGCACTGCTTGCTGATGGAAATGCACTCAAGACCTATTTTGGCTACTGATGGTAGGTATATTTTATCCACCACTAAGTCAAGGCAAATAATTTAAGACTCTACAATGTCATACTTGTGAGTCTGACCAAGACCAGGTCTTTGATTTCTTCAAATAGACATGTGTGAATGTGGAACAGACGCATGCTACATTGGTCATTGCCTGGATCCATTGCCTTTGTCATGCAAGCAATCATTCCCATGTTTCCAGGGTAAATCCATCCATGTGCTCCTCAGCCTGGATGGAGCTCTGGCCTGGCTGTCGGTTGATGATACCAGGTCACTGAGGACAAGTTTGTGCCACCCGCTTTGCACAGACAACAATGAACTTGTGTTCTGCTTTGCCTTTAAAAGTGGTGCCATCAAGGTAGGGCAACATAAATTATAAGCAGATTTTCTTTCCCTGTGTCATTTTGTCTCTGTTCGGCTTGTTCCTGCTGTATTGCCGCTCCAAGCCAGTCTGGTGAGATGTTAATGATTTGTGTGTAAAACAGGAAAATCTGGATTCTCACTGAGTAGAGCCAGCTGAAGCAGCACGGTGACAACATGGGAGCTTCAGCGCCACTTGGAAGCACTGGAAGGTAGAGCCTGGAAACTCTGACCTCGCTTCTTCCTTTTTTTCTTTCTAATTTATAGCTGTGATATTTACCCACGGTCATATTAACCCCATTACTGCCACGGCTGCAGAAGGGCTGACAGAGAAGAGCA